AAATTCCAGTCCTACGGAGCCGCCTCCATCCCAATATTCCAGAGCCCTGTGGAGCCGCCTCCATCCCGACATCCCACAGTCCCATGGAGTATCTCCATCCCAATTTTCCAGTCCTAATCCAGGAATTTTCCTCGCAGGGAGGAAAAACCTGGGTGGGTCAGGATCTGCTCCCTGGAGAATCGGATTGATCCCGATATTCCAGAGCCCTACGGAGCCAGCTCCATCCCAATTTTCCAGTCCTAATCCAGGAATTTTCCTTGTGGGGTGGAATATCCTGGGTGGGTTGGGATCTGCTCCCTGGAGCCGGGGAGGGGATCATGGGAATGGCATCCTGGGAATTTGGGAATATTCCTTCCTGGAAAGGGCGGCGTTGGAAGGGGACTGGGGAGAGGGTCGGCCGTGGGAACGGTTGGATTTGGTCCCTGAGGGCTTTTCCAACCCAAACGATCCCAGAATTTCGGAAAAGCGGGATGGGGAGCTGGGATTGGAGCAGAGCAGACCCCGCTCTTCCCATGGATGGGAAACCCTGGAGTGTGACCGATGGAATCCTCGGCTTCCCGCTGGAATTCTCCCATTCCCGCACGGAACGGAGAAGACCAAATCCCAAATCTATCCCAAAAAAACCCCCCACGGAATCCCGCTTTTCTCCTCTCACCGTCCACGTCGTAGACCTGGAAGAGGAAGCGGAGCTTTTCCGTGGAATTCCCGCGGAGCAGCCGGCGCAGGGATCCCAGCAGCTCCTCCCGGCTCAGGGAGCCGCTCCCGTCGGAATCGAAGAGCGCGAAAAACCTCTCGGCAAAGAAGGACTGCGGGAAAAGCGGGAATGGTCCCGGGAGCAGGGAACGGTCCCGGGAGCAGGGAACGGGAATGTTCTTCATGGATCAGGGAATGGGAATGTTCCCATGGAGCAGGGAATGGGAATGTTCTTCATGGATCAGGGAATGGGGAATGTTCCCGTGGAGCAGGGAACGGTCCCAGGAGCAGGGAATGGGGAATGTTCTTCATGGATCGGGGAATTGGGAATGTTCCCATGGAGCAGGGAATGGGGAATGTTCCCGTGGAGCAGGGAATTCCCACTGATCTCTTCCCTCTTCCCACGGATCCATTCCCTCTTCCCACAGATCCATTCCCTTTTCCCACGGATCCCATTCCCTCTTCCCACGGATCCATTCCCTCTTCCCATGGATCCCGTTCCCTCTTCCCACGGATCCCATTCCCTCTTCCCACGGATCCCGTTCCCTCTTCCCACGGATCCCGTTCCCTCTTCCCACGGATCCATTCCCTCTTCCCACAGATCCATTCCCTCTTCCCACGGATCCATTCCCTCTTCCCACGGATCCATCCCCTTTTCCCACGGATCCCTGACCTCCTTGACCTGCAGGGCGGATTGGAACTCTTCCAGGCTGATTTCCTTCTCCTTCCCAGCGCCATTCCCAAACCTTCTGCTCACCCAGCGCAGCCACTCCGTGTCCGCCGCCGCTCCCATGGCTCCGGAGCGATCCCTAAATCCCAACAATCCCTTTTTGGGATCCCCCAGCCTCGTCCTGAAGAGCTCCTGGCATGGAGCATCCCAAAGCTGGATCCTGCAGGGATCAGCCGCATTCCGTGGAATCCCAAATTTCCATGGAGCTGCTGAGCCCAGATCCTGGGATAATCATGGGAGCATCCCCAGGGATTCCTTTTTCCCAGAAATCCCAAGCAGGGATCATCTCCCATTCCCTCCTTCCCCATTCCCATTCCCATTCCCTTTCCCATTCCCATTCCCATTCCCCCCTTCCCCATTCCCTTTCCCATTCCCTCCTTCCCCATTCCCATTCCCATTCCCATTCCCACTCCCATTCCCATTCCCATTTCCCATTCCCATTTCCCATTCCCATTCCCATTCCCATTCCCATTTCCCATTCCCATTCCCATTCCCACTCCCACTCCCATTCCCATTCCCATTCCCATTCCCATTCCCACTCCCACTCCCATTCCCATTCCCACTCCCATTCCCATTTCCCATTCCCATTTCCCATTCCCGTTCCCTCCTTCCCCACTCCCACTCCCATTCCCATTCCCACTCCCACTCCCATTCCCACTCCCATTCCCGTTCCCATTTCCCACTCCCATTCCCATTCCCACTCCCATTCCCATTCCCATTCCCATTCCCATTTCCCATTCCCATTTCCCATTCCCACTCCCATTCCCATTCCCATTCCCATTCCCATTTCCCATTCCCATTTCCCATTCCCACTCCCACTCCCATTCCCATTCCCACTCCCATTCCCATTCCCATTCCCATTCCCATTCCCATTCCCGTTCCCTCCTTTCCCAGCCCTCCACAATTCCTCCAATCCCCCACGCTCCACGAATTCCATCAGCACTTCCCAGCATCCCGGATTTCCCCAGGATCCAAAGGAAAATCCAACTTCCGGAGCCTTTTCCCATCCCCAGCCTCTCCCGTTCACCTCCAAGGGACTCCAGAGGGAAATCCCGGAGCGGCGTTCCCGAGGAGAGGGACGGCTGCAGCTGGGATAAATCCCAAACCGCCGCTCATTCCCGCTCTCCCTCCCTTCCCGAATCCCGCCCAGCTCCGTGGCCCGGCCCGATCCCGCTTTTCCCAGCTGTTGTTGATCCCTTTGCCATCCCTGCCTCGTTCATTCCCTGTCCCGTCCATCCCTCGGGAATTGTGCTCCTGCCAAACCCACCTGGAGCCGCCGTTGTCCGGAATTCCGGCCCGTCAGGAACAGCCGGGAACGTCTTCTGCAGCCTCCATCCTTGGATTCCCTCCGGAGCCAATCCGCCCGGGACCGCGTTGCCATGGGAATGTCAGGAGCAGATCCAGGGAAAAGAATTCCAGAGGCATCCGAGCCCCCGGATCCCGCCCGGAAGAACCGCCAGGAGCTGCTGGAGCACGGAACTGATCCCAAAAATTCCAAACAGCCCCAGGATCCTGGGATAAATGGGATTCCATCCAGCCTTTTCCCCATCCCAAATCCAGCTTTATCCCATCCCAAATCCATCTTTTCCCCATCCCAAATCCAGCTTTTCCCCATCCCAAATCCATCCTTTTCCCATCCAAAATCCAGCTTTCCCCCATCCCAAATCCAGCTTTTCCCCATCCCAAATCCAGCTTTATCCCATCTCAAATCCATCTTTTCCCCATCCAAATCCAGCTTTTCCCCATCCCAAATCCAGCTTTTTCCCGGGATCTCCGTGCCTTTATCCCGGTATTTTTGGGATCCCGAAGGTTTTTCCCGCCTTTTCCCGCTGCCTTTCCAGCTCTTTGTGCATCCAGAGGGAGAAAAGCAGGAATTCTCCTTCCTGTGGGATTTGGGGCTCCAAAGGGGCTTCTCCCGGCTCCAAGGAACGGGAATTCCAGGTGGGAATGTTGGGAATGGGGGCCAGCAGCAGTGGGAGCTCCATTCCCAAGTTTTCCTTGGATTCTGTGGGATTTCCGCATCCTGAGGAATTCCTGGTTTTGACAGGAAACCTCCCGCAATTCCCAATTTTTCCTAGGATTCCATGGGATTTCCTGCTCCTCGGGAATTCCAGGAGCTCTTCCCAAGCCCCTGGAAGCAGCTCCAGGAAATCCTGGAAAGGAGGGAAACTCAACGGGAAAAGGAGGGAACGGGCAAAATTCCCCGAAGGAACAACCTGGAGTGGAATTCTTGGAAAAACAGCCAGGGGAAAAACCTCTGCACCGACCCCAAGGAGCAGAATTCCCAAATTTTCCGTTCCATCGGAATCCTCTTGGAGTTCTCTTGGAGAATCCCGTGGATTCTCCTCCATGAAATTCCTTGGAATTCTGCCATTCCCAGTTTTGCCATTTCTCACCCCACTTCCAAAATCTTTTTTTATTTCCTGGAATTCCCTGGAAGTTTTTATTCCCAAATTTGGCTTCTCCCCCTTTCTTTCCCCCCCTTGATTTTCCCACGATTTTTCCAGGGATCCCAATTTTTTTCCCACTTTTTTCTCATCCCCCTCATGGATTTCTGACAGCAAAAATACCCCAAAATTCCGGATTTTCCGGCCATTCCCACGTATAAAGTGATTTAATTCCAAGAAATTGTGAATTCTACTTCAAAATTTATTCCGTTTTTCCATGTTTTCCACCCATTCTCCCCAAATTCTGAAGCTTTGTCCCAGAATTCCTTGGATTTTTAACTCATCCTGAATTTTCGGGGGATTTTACCAAATTAATCCAGGCCAGTAAAGCAGGAAAATATTGGAAAATTCCATCAGAAAAATCAGGAATACTCCAATTATTCCATACATTTTCTCAGGAAAAAGCTAATTTAATTTAAAAAAAAAAAAAAAAATCCAGTTTAGGGAATTTTGGAGCTATCCTGGAATTTTTCTCCTCGTTTTTTACCTTCGAATCAGCTTTTCCTCAATTTTTTAAATCAGATTTTCCCAATTTTTTCCCCCGGAACGCTGCAAAAATTCCAACTTTAAGGGGTTAGACCACAACTTGGGAATTCCCGTGGCATCCCAAGGGTGTCTTCCATGGAATTCCTGGATCCCAGGGATTTGTTTGATCCCAAAGTTCCCCAGCTGGGAAAGCTGAGGGTGGGGATTTGGGGGATTTTGGGAATTTTTTCCTGTGGAATTTGGGAGGGAATCCTGGGAAAAGAAAGGGAAAAGTTGCAATTTCCTGTGGGAAATAAACAAGGGAAAATCCCAGAAATTCCTGGGAAAAATAAACAAGGGAAAATCCCAGAAATTCCTGGGAAAAATAAATCCCACCAATTCAAAATTCCCGTTCAAACAGCCAAGGGGGGGAAACCCTCAAATTCCTTGGGAAAAAAACCAAAAACAACCCCACAAATTCAAAATTCCTCTTAAAAATAAACAAGGAAAAATTCCACAAATTCCATCACAAATTCCTGCTAAAAAACCAATCCCATCGATTCAAAATTCCTCTTAAAAATAAACAAGGAAAAATCCCACAAATGGAAAATTCCTGGTAAAAATTAACGAGGGAAAAACTCCACAAATTCCTGTTAAAAATTAACAAGGGAAAAAAAAAAAAAAACAACATAAATTCAGAATTCCTGGTAAAAATGGACTGGACAAATTCCATTGAAAATTCCCCTTAAAAAACACATCCAAATAATTTCAAAATTAGCGGTGAAAGAAACAAGGAAAAATCCCAGGAATTCCATTAAAAATTCCCGGCAAAAACAAATCCCACAAACTCAGAATTCCTCTTAAAAATAAACAAGGAAAAATCCCAGGAATTCCATTACAAATTCCTGTTAAAAACAAGAAAAAAAACCCTCAAAATTCCCGCAAAAAAACAATCCCATAAATTCCAAATTCCTGATAAAAACAAACCAGGAAAAAATCCCAACCATTCCCATTAAAAACCAACCCCACAAATTCAGAATTCCTATAAAAACAAAGCAGGAAGAAACACCCCAGGAATTAAAAATCACAGAAGGAAAATTGCACCGTGGAAAAATAACCCTTCAGATTTATTCCCAACATTACAATTCCCAAATTTTTTTTTTTAATTCCCAAACTCTTGGAATACAAACAACGACAGGAGCAGCTTTAAACAGGGAATTCTGGCTTGGAACTGGGAAGAAATTCCCTCGGTAATAGAAGAAAAAGGAATTTTCTGCACCTTCAAACAATCAAAATCCGCATTTTTTTTCCTTGGAAAAAACCAAAGGAAAAAGCAGCTTTGCACTCCCGGAAATTCCTTTGAAATCCCAGCTTGTCCCAGCAAATTTTTATTCCAGGAGAAAAGTCCTTTTCCAACGGTTTTCAACGGCACCAGGAGAAGAAATTCCATGAAAAATTCCCAAAGATTCGGCCCAGGAGCCACTTCTGGGGATACCTGGAAAAGAGAAATTTAAACAGAGCTCGGATCAAATTCTGCCTCATTCCCAAATCCCAAACGTTTCAAAAAGTTTGGAATATTAATTCCAACCGAGGATTTCTCGGCCCATCCCAAACTTCCATCCTAAACCCCTCAATCATCCCAAAAAAAAAGGGTCAATTTGCAGTTTTCTGTTGCTGAAATTGGAATTTTTACCCGGAGCTGGATCCAGCTTCTCCCATCCCATTCCCAACACAATTCTTCCTGGTTCGATCCATATTCCTGGAATTCTTCCATGCTCACAGCTGAGGCTTTATCTCCATCCTGTCCTGTAAAATACACGGATAAAATCACGTTTTCCGAGGATTTTCAGCGTTCCCTTGATGCTTTCCAACAGCCCTTTGGGATTTTCCAGCCCTGTGTTTTCCAGGGAAAGCGGGAATGGATAAATGGGGATTTCAGAAGGAATTGAAGCACTTTTTACCCGAGTTCTGCTCCAGCCGATGGGAACAGCTTGGAAATCCCAAATCCTTGGAAAAGAGCGGCTCTTGCCTTGGATCCTCATCCTGCAGCGCCTGGAAAAGGATCTGGGAGCAGGGAATGGTTTGGGATGGGACGGAGCTCCAAGCTCATCCCATTCCACGGGCTGGGATCATTCCCAGTATTCCAGGCTGCTCCAGGCTCACCCTGGACATCCCAGGGATGGAGCCGGGAGAGCTCCAGCCCCGCCAGGAATTCCTTCCCAATATCCCATCCCAATCTCCCCTTTCCCAGCGGGAGCCTTTCCCTGCGTCCTGGTCCTTGTCCCAGTCCCTCTCCAGCTCTCCTTTAGGCTCTGAGGATTCCCTGGATCCTTCCCTTCTCCAGCATTCCCAGCCTGGCTCCATCCCTGGAGCATCCCATTTTCCTTCCCAATTCCTGCACCTCAAACCCGTGCGGTCCCAACCCCAACGCCTTCCGCTCTCCCGGGCTGCTCCAACCTGCCCCGGGACATTCCCGGGATGGAGCAGCCACAGCTCCTCTGGAATTCCATCCCGGACAGGAACTCCTTGCCAACACCCCCTGCTCTCCTCCAGCCTGAGCCCACCACCCTCACCCTGACACTCCAAGGGAAAAAAAACACACAAAAAAATAAATAAAATAAAATAAATCCCTTTCTATCTTTCCTGGGAACTGAGGCATTCCCACCCTGGGCCCTGCTCCAGCTCAGCACAGCCGCTGCCCCTCAGGGATGTTCCCGGGGGGATCCCCCTTCCCTTCCCCCCTTTCCCTTTCCCTTTCCCTTTCCCTTCCCTTCCCTTCCCTTTCCTTCCCTTTCCTTTCCTTTCCTCTTTCCTCTTTCCTCTTTCCTCTTTCCTTCCCTTCCCTTCCTCCCTTCCCTTCCCTTCCCTTCCCTTCCCTTCCCCTTCCCT